GGCTGGCTCCCTGCAGAGTGCTGCTGAAATGAAGCTGCCCCGTTGGAGTTTTGGGGAGTTAACAGAACTGTTACAGCAATTGTGACCTCGAAAAGTTTCACTATGTGCTATTTTTAACTTTAGAGGTCTTAAGCTCTGAGGAGCACAATGAATGATTGGAGTCTGAAAGTGAAATACATTTTCCATTATTAGAACTTAAAAACTAATTAACTACTTAACCACACTTTGTCCAAAAAGTAGAACTTGTGAAAACTCAGCCTTATCTGCTGTGTCACAACAGTGTCACTGTAACAACAGAAGGGCCCCACAGTGCTGGTGATAGCTCATCAGCCATTACTTTTGGTGTCACTTATGACAACGTGTTAGGAGAAACATGGAGAAACAAGCCCTACTCACTGTGGATTACTTGGGGATACTTTACTCCTTTTACTGTCTGTTTCCACAAAGTCCCTGCTCACTGGCCATGATCCAAGCTATTTTCTTCCAAGTTATAGAAACAGATGAAAGGAAGTAAAGTGCTGCATTCCCAGGGAGAAGATACCTCCTACCTCACTCTTGCAATGGCTTGCACTGATTGCAAAGCATCCCCGGTATCCACACTTCCCTTCTTGGGGGAGCTCATCCTCTGGGGTCTCTGAAGTGAGAAAGGTAGAACAAGGAGAGTATTTGGTCTTCCAAAAAGTGTGTAGACCCATTGCTTTTCCACCAGTATCAGGTGACTGTCTGCCCACCTGAACGAACAGCATTAGAAACCAAGTCTGAAGGGAACCTACCACCAAGTCACCTAGTCTGTCCCTTCCCCATGACGTGACATCTACACATTTAACAGCCATTTGCCTAAATTGTCCTTGTAACCCTCCAGTAGCAGAATTCCATAAGCTCCACAGTTGCTACAGTCTAGAGCTTCACTGAGAAAATTCCCCTGCTGGAGGGGTTGGAAACCTCATCCTGAAGGAGCAATTAACTTCATTCTCAGCCACGGTGGTGAGAAGCAGAAGACTCTGCCTGTAGTGGCCCACACAACTGGAGACCAGGTTGCCCTTCAGAGCTCAGACACATTCTTTTGGTATTTTTTTTAAATTCCTGACAGTTTCTCATGTGAAGAGCAGAGAAGACAGCCAACTCCAAGGCACCAAGAACAGACATGTGATCAGAAGATAAAGTGGGACAACAAAAAGAACAAAAGTAGAAAAAAGATGCAATGGCTCAGCTTGGATTTTCTTATGACAGAATCTGCAATGCAAATACTGCCTGAAACTGCAGGATCATAGAAAAATACTGCCACTCCTGACGGACTTTTTCCTTTGTCTCTACGATGGAAATAATTTGGAACAAGGAATGAGGCACACTCTTTGGTTTAGGTCTGCTGAATAGACCAAGGGCAGGAAGGGAAGAGAGGGGCCTGTCCTATTTGACTTTCATTCAAGAGGGGGAATATCATACACTGAGCCTTAAAAAGATAACTGTTTGGTCAATCATGCTCACCTGGGATGGTGACAGCCTTCCACCAGGCTAACCAGCACCTATCATTCAGGGGATTAGCTGAGCAGGTTTTTGCATGAGGTTTGGAACAGCCAAGGAGAAGAAAGAGAGTTTTCCTAGGAGTCATGTCTCACTCTTTTCCTACCCTTCTCTGGACAGTGTCTGTTGTGTGAGTGCCTTGGGCAGCTTTTGGAAGGGGAGGTTTACAAGGAAATAGCCCCTCTCTGCAGATTGATACAATGGTATCTCAGCAGCTTTTGTTTAACCTCTCATCCACCTAGGTACAACTCAGCCCATAGATGGGGACAATTTAAAGCTAACTGGTCTGTTAGTAAGGGCTGTATGCCTCGTGTTTTCAATGCCATAAAATAAGCCTTGACAAATTAAAGAAATGTTGGGGGAAAAGGATAAAAAAAAAAAAGCTGGATAACTAAATTGAGTCAATGCCCCAAGCAGAAGGAAGGTGTCTCTCCATGGGCACACTGAAGAGGAAAGGTCCCAGCAATCCTTTTGACCTGACAGCCTGTAAAGCTGTAGCCTGCAAACAAGCACTACCTATGGTTTCTTAACTTGAAACACCCCTTTGGCATTGTTGTGACCACAAGTAGCACTTTAAAATTAGCCCCTGCTGCATTTTGCAACAGTGTGAGGCAAATGAAGCAGTTTTAAGTGGCCTCTCTTTTCTGTAATATTTCCGTCAGAAAGCCAATGACTGTGGGTTTCAGGAACCCATGAGGTTTTCCCTTTTATTTAAATAGCTTAACTGATTACATTATGTCATACCCAATTTAAGTTTTTAAATATAGAAGAGAAGATAAAAACAGGCATGGACAACTGCTGTTTGACTTTGCCAGTACAGACAAGACAAATACATATTTCAAAATGTCAAGTGGCTGCTGCTTTCAGCTTTCTTCAGTGATTACTTGACTTTGGAAACAAAAAATGATGTTTCTACTCAGCAGCTTTGTTTTCAAAAAAAAACCCCTCTTGATTTCCAACTAATTTTTAAAGATTTACATATTTAAGACCATTTCCCAATTGAGTTATAAACTGGCAGAAATTAACAAAAGTCACTATCAACTCTTTGGTGTAGGTATAGGCTGTCACAGTAACAAGAAAAGCAGCCAGCCTACTATTTAACCAGGGCAGTTCAGAGCAGCAGGTTCTGTTATTTCAGAGGGGAAAGCAAAGTCAAGTATCTCCAGAGAATCGATGTTCAGCAATAACTGCTGAAACATTTGGAAAAAGGAATCCTTTGCATACTCTCCCCTGAAAGATCTTGATTCCTCTTGACAAGAGTTGGTGGAATGGTAGAATCCTACACTAATAACAAAAGCACATATGTTCCAAGTCATTCGGCTCAAGCAATTAATGTTTAATTAGAAAAAAACCCCAAATCAGACCACTGCCAGGTAATCTGAGGGCTTGCTCTGACATTCAGCAAAGTCAGCGGGAAATGCATGTGGTCCTTGGCAGAAGAGGACAAGGGCCAAGGCAGACAACTGAACTGCTGCTCTCCTTCCTGCTCTGCAGCTGCACCTTTGCACGTCCTTCATTCAAAAATAAAAACTTAGACTTCAGACACATTCTCTGTTCAGACACATTCTCTGTTACTAGCTCAGGGTTGTATCGATTTAATACCCAATAAAGGCAATTTTCAGTCATTGTTACCATTTAGGTCCATGCATTTGATCTAAGTGAAATCCATAAATGATGAGACTTAACAGAAGAGCCCATGAAATGCCCATTTCATACCAATACAGGGAATTTACATGCAACTGCAGGCCCAGGTGCAAAAAGACTATTTACATGGTGAAGGTGAAGGCACGAGGAAAGACCAACATTGTAGGACTGCAGTGTTAAGATATCACAGGCATTTGAGATATAGACTGAAATGTGCAAATGTTTCTGTTGGAACAGAAGAAGAACTGATGAAAGAAGCAAGATACAGATAGTGCTTAGCAGAGAGATCAAGTGCTTTCTTTCTACAAATGGCTTAGATGTTTTTATGGTGGACTTAATACATTAGAAAGCCTTCAGTAGCTTCTGGTCCTAGACCAAATAAATTAAAAACTCCCTTCCAGCATTAAATATCTATTGATCATCTGCAGGGCTGTAATTACATTGGTGTGCTCTACTGCTGGAACAACAGCTGTATCCTGGATCCAGCCGCAGCTCTTCACGGTGAACTGTGTCGCAGGTGTTTAAAAAGCAATCAAACAGGAGAAGACCCTAATTTTCACCCATGGATGACAGTTTTTTCAACCTGAGCTGCAAAGCCAATTTTCAGTTATAGGTAGTTTCAATTGCTGTTTGGTTTTCAGCTAAGTATCCTGCAGCTTCACACAGGCATTGTTGAGGCGACTGGATTTTGACTACAGCATTATGTGACTGTTGATGAGCCATGGGACCTACTAACAAAAGCTTTAAGCAGACTAAGTGCACACAGCAATGTTCCAGGGCTGCTTTCACTTCTGTTTTCAATTTTCTCTTCTCTAAGCCTGTTTCAAGGCTGCTCTCTGCATTCCTAGGAGCATGTACATTCGCTTTTAACTCCATATTATGAAGAAAGTTCACTCACTTTCATGAACCGCACACGGATTACATGACATAAATGGCAGACCTGTCAAAACTGTTGGAAGCAAAGGCTACATTAAGGGTAGAAGAAAATCACAGATATTTTTAAAACAGGACAGCTTGCTGGTCCAGGTGTGCAGGATAGCACACACACATTGTCACCTACTGTCACACAGCCCTGCAGTTCTGTCTGGCCAGTACCTCGTGGCTCAGGATTCTGTGTCAACACTCAGACACATCCATTATTCCCTCTCTATGATGTGCAAGGCCACAGTAAGTGCTTCACAGATGATCTGAAGAAACATATTACGTTATAGTTTCTCCACTGATTTCTGTTGCAGATGAGGCAGCAGGAGTGCCTAGGCCCTAAGGGAAAAGGAGAGGCATGACCTCCTCTGTTGCCCCCAAACACCTGAAAGCCACAGAGCTCCGGACCGCAAGCCCGTTCTCATGCTCCTTGTGCTCCTCCGGCCACCTCCACCAGCGCCTCGCAGAGCTGCAGCGTCCCTGACCATTTCACAAGTGCCAGTGAAGAGGCAGGCTCTCCTAGGCCAAGCCCCAGGGGGCTCATTTGCCCAAACTTCCACTGGGCAGGCCCCCTTTCGCCCCCGCTGCATCGCTCCGGCGCAGCGCCGCTGGCCCAGCCGCCGCCCCGAGCCCGGCAGCCGGGCAGGGCTGTGTGCCGGGGCCCGTCGGTGAAACCGCGCCGGCAGCGGCCGCGGGCCCGGCAGGGCGCGGCGGGGCAGCAGCGCAGCGCACCGCGGCTGCAGGTACCGGCGGGGCTGTGGCTGCGCTCCTCGCTTCTCCGCGCCTCGCAAACACCCCCGGCCGGGGCACCCTCCTCCGCCGCGGCTGCCCACACCCCTCCGCCCTGCACCCCGTGCCGCCTTTGCCCCTCCAGTCTCCCCCGGCCCGGGGCGGACGCCCCCGCCGCCGCTCACCTCCTCCCGCTCGGCGGCGGCGGCCCCCGGCGCGGGGGTGCTGCCCGGCCCGCTCTCAGCAGCCGCCTCGGCTTCCCCCTCCGAGGACATCCTTGGCCATCACCGGCAGCTGCGGCGGCGGCGGGGGCTGCGGGACCCCGAGACGGCGGAGCCCCCCGCGGGCCGCGCCCCGCGCCGCGGCCGGGGCTGGGGCGAGCCGCCCCCGCGCCCAGGGCCGCCCTGCCGGGTGCTCCCGACTCCCTCCACCATCCCAGGCAGGCGGGCAGGGAGGGAGGGAAGGAGGCGGCGGAGGGGAGGAGAGAAAGACGAGGCGGAGTGGGGGGGTGCCCCGGCCGCTCCCGGCCCCCCCAGGTGGGCAGGCGGCTGCCCGGCGGCTCCCGGCGCGCTTCTGCCGGCGTCTGGGAGCTGCCGGGTATGCCCCCTTCCCGGGATACGACCTCGCAACCCCTACCCTTCCGGGGTGCCCTCTCTTGTCTTCTTCTCGGGGTGAGCCTCGCTCCCCATCCCCGGGAGCGCCCCGCCCGCCCCGGCTGCACCCCCGCCGGCGGCCAGCCCCCCTCAGCTCCGCTTCACGCCTCCGCCGCCCGCAGCTCAGCCTCGGCCGCTTCTCCCGCTCTTCCCCAGCGCCCGCAGTTCGCCCGGGCTGGCGGCGGGACGCGGCCCGGCAGCGGCAGCAGCAGAAGGGGCAGGAGGAGGAGGAGGAGGAAGGCAGCTCCGTGGAAGCGCTCCCTCACGGAGCAGCCCGACGATGCCCCACTCCCCTCCCTGGTCGCTGGACCTGCGCACCGGGAACAGAGGGCAGCGCTGTCGGGACGGAGCTCTGGGGCAGCCCCGCACCCCGCCCTGCTGCCCTCCTGCACCTCCTTATTCTCGGAGGAGTGGGTGGCAGTGGAAATGGAAGCACCCAGCTGCTCCTGCCCCTTCCCACCCTCCTTGCGGCCTGAGCCTCTCCTCTGGTTTCATGTGCCTCCTGCACAGGCTTTCCCTCACAATTGCAGCCTCCTGCAAACTCCCTGCCCTGTCAATATTTCTTCCTCCTGCTTGCATCCTGTGCTCAGCGCATGCAGTCAAGATTGGCTCTCCTGCTGATCAGGACTGGTGTACTGCACCATCTTACCTTGGCATGTTTGCTTCATGTTTCATTATACTCTCGTGATGCTCATCCCATTTGATCCGTTTCTCTCTGCGTGCATATATTTTAAATCCTTCATAAAAATCTTACAAACAGGCAAGTGAACACTCTTGAAGCATCAGCCTTCACTTTAATACTTGTACTTCAACTCGTGTCACAACATGCTTGCTGCTTTTTCAGGCACGCTGGAAAATGCCACTCCAGGTTCAAGGCACTCGGGCTGCATAAGAGATTGTTTAGAATGGCTGTAGAGCAGAGAATGGTGCTTGGTGTGTGTGAATGCATAAAGAAAAAAAAAAAACAACACCCAAAACTTGGATTTTCATAAAGTATTGGGTTCTAGTAAATCTGAATTCTAGGATATTAATTGCATTGCAGAAGTCTCGGCTGATGCCACGTTGAGAAGCCTACCTATTCTTGGGGGTGCAAGATGTCCATGAGAGACAATTAACAAACTCCCTTGGCCTCACCTGTCTCTGGCTGGCACTGCAGTGCGGTGACTGCCACTGTAGCTACAGATACATGTGCCTTGTCCTGCCCCTCCTAGCATCTCCTCCTAGCAGAAATGGCATTTGTTTGGCTGCATCCAATAGATACACCCAAAATAGTCTGGCTTTTACTTCTCTCAGACCTGGAGAGGAGCTGTGAGATGCACAGTGGAAGGGACTACAATACAGGTTTATAAACCACATGGGAATGCATATTTAAAATACTCAATTTCCTTTCTGTAAGTGGTGCAATGGGACATCTCTGGAGGATAAGATAGCAGATTGGCAGGGAGTGGGTCACATCTAGGACACAGAAAGAAACCAAAAAGAATCCATAAGGAGTGCCTGTGACATACGCACCAACATCTATAGAGCAAGAGAGATATTAAAAGTGTTCTTTATTGTCAACTCATACCTGTTTGTCTAGATGGCTTTAGTGACTCTTAAATATGCTATGGAATGGGTGCTGGGGCATGGTGAGGTGTTGTGGTTAGAAGGGAAATGTGCCAAGCCAGAAAACTGTGCACTGAGAGACTGGAAATTAACTTCATATTTGTGCCAAATTTCTATTTGTAAGGACTGCTAAAAATTCTAATGAAAGGCAACATGAAGGGAGATAGAAGAAACAGGCTCCAGTGTATCACAGGGCAGCATGAAGAAGCATCCCCATTCAATAAGGAAAAAGATTGACAATTTTCAGAAGATGGGGCCCGAATTTGTACAGACAGCAGGGTGAGGCTGTGCACCAGAAAAGTGTCAGCTTGGCAAGCCACACAGCCCAGGAGTAAGAGCATCATATCCAAAAGCTGAGTCAGGCATGGACAGAAAACAAAGACCTGGCAGACCTCAGCCTGTCAGATTTGTCTGCCATCCCAATCCAAATGCTTGCTTTTATTTATTAAATACATCTAATTCCCACTGGACTTTGGTGCTGCCTGAACAGCTTCATGAATTTATTTTCAATTCCACACTCACTCTGTTTTTGATGTTGAATAAACTGTGATTTATTTCAGCTAAACCAATCCTGATTGCTGTTTTGCTACAGCTGCCAGCAGTCCCAAGGACTGGCTAATTGGCCCTTCCACCTTTAAGAGATGAAGTTGTCTCTGAGGATATGGAGCCCCAGTTGAATTCAGGCTTTCAATCTGGAAGGCACATGTATATACATCTTCCCACCTGCCATACCATCAGAATTCTGCTGAAACATAGGAAAAAAGCCTAGAGATGAAAGAGATCTGGAGAAGGGAAAATGAAGGTTACTATCCCTGAGATTTAAGCTTTGGAAATGTCATGTCTCACCAGGTGCCTTTGTTTCCACCCCTGTATCTTCAGATTCAAGGTATCAATCTCTGCTATCAAGGTCGCTCTCATAAACTGAAGGATCAGGGCAAAAAAGGAAGCTTGAACTCAAGAGACTACTGCAAAATCTATGCAAAGAAGCTCATTTATTAATTTCAGAAATGGAGGGGATCAGTGTCACTGCTATGAGATGCCTGAAGGGGCTATTTTTCTTCTTTAGAAGCTTTATACTCTATTTTAACATGGATTAATTATGAACATTTATATATATAGCATAAAAAATGTGATAAGCAGTTTGTGGTCTGGCTTGCAAAATATGTGTATAATATTGCAAAAATCAGCTCTCTCTTCTGGGCTTTGTGCCTGGTCACTCAATCTTTCTAAACAGCCAGCAAGGAACAGAGACACCATGCATGTGTAGCTTTGCTGCCTCTATTCAGAGCAATAAGAAACTGGTGCAGTCAGGAACTGCAGTTTGTGTCAGTTTGAGATCAGCACCCTGTCATTCAGAGCATGCCACTGTAAAAATGTTTATAATCCTTTTTCTGAGCTCAGCTGGGCCATTGCACTGATTTAGCAGGCAGAATTTTGCTCTGCTGTTTAGTGAGAGACGGCATTTGGGCAAAATTTGCAAATATCTGGTACCATTTTTAAGATATACCTGGAGGCCTGGTGTCTGTCTTTAAGATGAGACAGCTAGGAAGATCCTGAGCATTTCTGGCCATCAAAACTTGCAGAATACTTTATTGAAAGAGAAAAACTAAGACTTCTGTTCTGGGGAGACTCCTACCCAGAAAATTGCAGTATGAGGGCTTCAAATTACTTCTTTGCTGCTCCAAAACCAGCATAAATTAATATATGCTGTTAGGGAAGTGCTACATACTGCCCCAAAGCTGACAGTAATGTAAAGACTATTTCCAGTACAGATGGTTTGTTAGTTCATTTATGCAGATAGGCATATTGGAAGAGAGGAGCTATTGCTAAATATAAAGTAAGCCTTACTGTCCTATGACTTGTATGTCCTGCCAAAGACCTATGCAGACTATCTGCAAGGACTAAATACTGTGATCTCAACAGACTTTCAATATTTTTTTAAAAAAGTGTATTCCTAGTTAATAATAAGCTCTGCCTTTTTTAAGATTACAAAATCCAACATCTATTGCAGTTACAAGTGTCATATCACTGTATCTGTTTATGAGTGTGTAATCCAAAACATGTCTATTATCTTTTGCTAAACCTGAAAAGAGAGAACACTATGTTGTTTCAGTATTAACGCTTAGTGAAATATTTGTGAATCAAATTGTGGATACAGCAAAAGAGAATCTGTCTGGACCATTCACAAAATGAGCTTTGATATCTTTTTAGTAAGTAAAAAGCGGAAGGGAGACATCAATAATTTATTAGCACTTGGATTACATCCTCCAGTGCTTGTCGTTTGCTGCCTTCTTGAAGGAAAAGAGGACAAAGGCAATACTGGCTCTTAGGCTGTAAAGTCTTTGCAGGCTCTGATCTCTTGGTTCTGACAAAGGATGCCGTATATTGAGGGGCACTCTGACAATGACTGTGATGATCACAGCTCCGAGGATCACAGTGGGATGAGCCACCAGCCCGTTGTCTTGGGATGCCTTTCCAATTACCAGCATGAAGTGAGCCACGTGGTATTGGTACCACCCTGGCACAGAGGCACTCCTGATGTAAACAGCAGGCTTGGTGTTCTGAGGGGCCTGAGTTTTAACAAACCACCTCTACACTTCAGGCTTTTTGCTTCCCTCCTGTTCTCTCCGAAGTCTGTGCCCTGTCTCCTGCCATCTCTTTCCTGGTGGCAGTGATGCCTATGCTCAGTCTTTAGATTTAGTAATGGAACTGCCACATTGCACAGATATGCCAGAATTCGCACTGACATTCAGTCTTTCCTTTCAGAATGAAATGTTCTCTCCTCTCATCTATTTCTCTGGCTTGTGTCTTTCAAATTTGGCACCTGTCTCCTATTTCTCTCTTTCCCTTATCTTACTCCTTCTGAGCTGCTATTTCCAATACCTGAACAATCACTACTCTTCCAACTTGTTTCCCAGATTTTTCAACCTTTAAGTCCTGAGAAATCTTTCCTAGTTCTTTGCCTATCACTGTCACCAAGAGCTTCATCTTCCCTCACAGCATTGTCTTGAGTTATTCCCAAGCAGCACTTAGGAGTAAGCAAAGGCTATTCCTCTGCTTTACTGAAACAGAATCAAATAACCCTTTTCTTGTGCTTCATCAACCTCTATGATGAAACAGATACTCCCAATCACAGGACAGGAAGGGCTATGGGCAACCTGAGGGATCTAGATGTGCCTCTGCCCTTCTGTGTGCACAAGGGTGTTGTTTCCTGCAGGTATTGACATTTCCATTCCAGGTGTGCTGAACAGACCTGCACAAAACAGAACAGGTGTTCTGAGAGACAGGCAGCAGTGAAAGGTCATGTCTATGATAGTCCACCAGCATCCTCTGAGGCTGGTGTTTGCTGCTCATGTCATTCCAAGCACGAGCTAATGCATCCTGCTTTTCAGTGGGACTTGGTAACTCAGCCTAATGCTAGCCAGGTTCTGCCCACAAAATGTTTTGGAGAAAATGAGGATAAAACTCTTTTTACAAACACTGTAAAAACATGTCAATATTAATGGGCTGCTATGGACAGCC